ATTAATCGAAATTATTTCTCGCGGAAAGATTTTTTTTTATTTTCTTTTTTTTCTTTTTTATTTACGCGTTATATATACGATTTCTTTTTGGTTACGTTGTACATAAGTCGCAAGTAAGATTGCTACTTATGTTAAATAGTAAAATACGTATTCACGTTATGGAAAACATATTGCACTGTCGCATATCTAATAACTATGAATCGTTAATGCATCTTAATATCGTATGCGATGACAATGAGGATTACAAGGTGAGGAAATACAAGTAGGATTTCATTAAGCAGTCTGTTCGCATTATTGTATATATTTGTTTCTTCTACTGTTATGTGCGAGAAAACGATTACTTATGAGAGAAAGAGGTTTGTGCTTGTATATGTATGAGTCGTCGATGAATATAATACGCTACCTCGATTTGGCCTTCGTATTTAAGTACGTACGTAAGTAACGATCTTAAGACAATGATTCAATAAAAATAATAAATATATATTCTTATAATAAACATATATTATACGGTAGGAATTGTTTAACCATGCAAATCACTCGAGATCATCACCTTTGCACTCTACCTTCACCCCTCTTCCTCCCCCTCCCCTCCCACTCCTCCTCCTCCCTTTGATTTGAAATTAAAATACATTTATTTTTTTTTTTTTTTYTTTTTCACGCTTTCATTCTATGTAGATACACGTTAATAACATGCAACGCAAATAATAAACCGAGTGGTGGTGAATCGGTAAAGAAAAGAGGGGGGGGGGGGTAAGGGTGTACAATAACGATTAGTCGCATGACATTTGACACGTATCGAATTGGAAAAAAAAAAAATTGTATCGCGTTCAAATAAAAAAATAGAATGAGAATTTGAACGAAAGTTCTGTGACGAAACGAAACTTTGCGTAAAATTTTTGAAATCTTTTCGATATCTCTTTGCTGTTTGTCTTCTCTCCAGGGATGACAAGGTCCCATAGCAAGCACGTGTCACTTACATGATAGATATCTCTCTCATTAAAAAGTACCTAACTGTCGTTTTGCCATATTGAAAACTAATCCAACTTGACTCGACGTAAAAAGGTATATACAACTAACAAGAACTCGGCATACAACTAACTCTTAGATTATTTTTATGTTCTTGGTTTTTCTTTTTCTTTTTTTTCTTTCTATTTTTTCTTTTTTTTTTTTTTCTTTTTCTTGTGTTACAATATATTCCATAAAAAGTGAATCGTCGTAAATGACCATAGAAGGTAATAACGGCCTACTCAAGTTTAATTCATTTCTATGCACTTTTGTATCGTCATTCGTAAAACATTTCAGATCGGTCAAGTTTTCTTTCTTCGTTTCATTATGCTCGTTACAAAAAAATGGTTACAAGATCCTCGGGGTGGGGCGCGGGTCTCTCTAGGTGGTCTCTAGGTGATCTGTTTTAAAATAAAAACCTTTTTTTTTGTTTGTTTCCTTTAGAATCTTACTTAACTTAACTTTTAACTCTCACGTCGTTCTTATCTGCGATTAATGAAAAAACTACACGCGTTTCCCTGCGCATAATAATCTATTGCGTCCAATGATCTAAAGTGCGAAGTCTTGAAAGTATTAAAAGCATCAGGTTATCGTTCTAGTCATGAACTTTACAAAGATATCGGTATCGAACGAATGCTCATATCTATCAACGAGTATAAAAATAATTCGATAGTATATAAGTATACTCGTAAATATATATACATATATAGAGTATTATACTACGCCGTTAGCCAGATTACATGCGACTGTTTTTCAACTCGTTCCTTCGAAACTTTAAACAAATACTTTTCGTACAATATTAATTTCTTTTTTTTTTTTTTTACATCGTTCTTTCTCTAATTCTTCTATCTTAAATCTTATAATCCCTAACATATATATACATATTTATTTTATTTTTACAGAAAATAGAAAAAACGGGAAAGATATATGAAGAAGTAAAACAAAACGAGAGAACGAAAAGAAATATAAACAAGCACGATTCGTCGTTGATAAGAAAGAAAAAATAAAAAAGAAAAAGAAAAAAATTGGAAAACCTGAAGGCAAAGAAAGTAAAGACGAGTATTTATGCAGGTGAATGAACGACGACGAGGACGGGTTGTGATCGAGCGAAATGTAAGGGCTAAGCGACCACGACGACTCAACCGGGTGGTGTCCCCAGTGAATGTCCTTGGATAAAAGGTGTCATCGTACGGAGTATCTGTTCACATCTTACCGGGCAGCATTGGATTGCAGTTGAGTCTTCTAATACTGTCAGGTAAAGATGTCGTCAGGATTCCGAAATCGACTATGCCAAACATATGCTGACTACAACCCTAGACTACTACTATTACTACTACATTTACAACTATAATACCAACAACTATACGAGGACAAGAAGGATAGTAATGAGCATCGAACGAGTAAATGTTTTTTTCTAAGAGCTTTATCCATGGGGTATCTTATATGCTGTTAAGACATACTATGGATAATATTACCGCGTCTGGCTACACGAGTTCATAATTTCTTACGAATCTTTTTAACACTAAACCTATCGACGCTATTTCATGTATACCTATTTCTACCGTGAGTAGTCAAATGACTGTTTTTAAAAAAAATATATATATATATGTCTTCGTATAGAAGGAGATTTTAGCCAATCGAATATAGTGTGAATGATATATATATTTTTCTTTTAATTTAGCAAATGAATAACGCACATTTTATACCTTTTTTACCGTACTTTTACAAATTACAGAAAGCCATCATTTTGACTGCGAAGTTGTCGTGTTGGAGGTAAAGTGTTAAGTAAGCGAACATAACTTTTTTGTGTTATATATTTACATATATAAATATATAGCTACGTATGATAAATGGTAATATGATAATTCTTATCCATACGACATATATATATATATATATCTATATAAAAATACGTATTGAGCCGCGCGGAAATTTTTTTTCGTATAATATTTTCCAGATAGGAGATGATTGCTTTTAACATCACGTAACTTTGATATAATATCAATTGGATCTGCTAATATTTCAAGTACGCTTGAAAATTGGACATATAAGAGAGTAGTTAATTAAAAACAAAATTGTATTCGTTTATTCGGTCAAAAATTATTAAATTGCGTCTTGGAAAATAAATGAAAATAAAAAAGAAATAATTCGATTGTGAGATATACACGAATTAGCAATTATTTTTTTTTATTCTTTTTCTCTTCTTCAATATTATATTCTACCTGGTTGTTAATAATTCATTTTTTCAGGGGGAGGAAGAAAATTATTGAAATTAAATTTATCAACATTAATTAGTTTTTATCCAATTAAATTTTATCGTCAATGAGAGTGCGAGGAGAATTTGACGTGGTGGTGGTGGTAGATAAAAAAAGGAATATAACGTTTTAAATATGCATCATGTATATACGTGTGTAAGTCCCCGTTCGAAGAAAGATGCGTTCGTGTAGATTCAAAAGTACCTTCTTACTTTTTTTTTTCTTCCTTTTTCTTTTTTTTTCCTCCCTTTTAGAAAGAAAACCTGTATACTGGACTCCTCCGACAAATGCGATCGCATCGACGATCTTCGAAAACGTCGCGACATCGAGAGGTGCATCGTAATGAGCTCTCCTCGCACCTTTACGTGTTTACTTGTGTCTCTATGCATATATATATATATATATACATATATGTGTATGTATATATGTATATATGCGCTGCATATAACATTTTTTGCTCTCCCGTGACAACATAATCCCCGTCTCGAGTTAAACGTATGTGTGTATGTGTATGTGTGATGGTGTGATGTGATGATAATCCAAGAGTACTGAAAATGTTCAGAACGAGGAAAAGAAGAAACAAGCGGAAGTCCAATATATATATAATATTTCTCTCTCAATTTCTTCCCTTCTCATTTATTATTTATAATGTATTTATAAATAAAATTCTATTTCTATCTATTTATATTATTTTTCTCTCTCTCTCTCTCTCTCTTTTTTTAACTTCGCGTGTAACATAGTACCGGTTTTCTGTAAATATTTTCCTTCAGTTTTCTATAGCAAAAAGTCTTCTTGAAAAAAAGGATTAAAAGTCTCTCTCTCTCTCTTTCTCTCTCTGGAATTTCGTGAACCGACAACAGCGCGATACGTATTTTCGGTTGATCGTGGTGGCTCGCGTGATTCTTACGGCGGCGGGGGGKTCAAGAAAGAAGAAGAAGAAGAAGAAGAAGAGAAAGAGATAGAAAATGGCGGGCGGCAAAGTGAGGGGTCGGGGAGAATCAGCAACTTCGAGAGAGGAAAAGAACGAGGACGATAAATAAGGTGGTCGCTGTCTGCAGGCGCGCCAAGCACTACGTGCGCACGTCCATACATATACATATATACACATATGTGTGTATGTATATGTATATAATATATGTATTCATGTAGATACATCTAAGGGAACACATATAAGTTAACATATGTACGTTGCTATATACACACATATACATTTGTATGACTGTATATACATATATATATGTATAATATACATGTAAGATATACTAGGTACCTACAACATGCTCGTTCGCTCACATGCTGAGGAAGAGAGAGAAAGAGAAAGAAAGAAAGACACAATCTTGCAACGTGCATGCAGAAAACCCAAGCAAGGCAGCAGGAGGGTTCTACGATCCTGCTGTATAGTTGACGGTAGGAGGTAGAAACGCAGCAAAAGCTCTCTCTCCTCCACCACAGTCGTGTCGTATAGTCGCTTGCTTGTATGCCTCGAAGCTTGCTCGGAACGGCAAGGAACGAGTAGGCGCGTCAGGAATGTAACGCCTCAAAAACGATGCCACGATCGTCGTAAAGCATTGCGTGGGTCCGCCTTGCGACGTGAAAATGAATACGCCAGTAGTGTAGTAGAATTAAGGATGATCGAAAAATAGATGATGGGATGCGAAAGGAATTGCGCGGCTACGTTTGATTCTTTCTTTCTCTTTAGCGCGGCCTTTTTAAATTCTTTTTCTTTTTATTCATTTGTTTTTTTTTGTTTTTTTTTTTCGCCCSCCCGCCCCCCTTTTTTTTTTTAAAGAACATCAAGAACCGTTTTAACACTGGCAATAATTGATAGAAATTGTTTGTAACTATATTGCTAATAATTTATTTTCTATCTCTCTTATCAGATTTTTAATGTAATTTTTTTGGGAAGAAAAATATGAGAACGCGCAAAATGATATTTCGCACGGTTTTGCAATTCATTTATTCGCTTCGAAGAAACTATGTTTCTTAGATTATACGTGAGCAAAGTGTATTGTATATTTATCTATACGGTGTTACAAATTGGGTTATGTCATTAAAATAGAAAAATTGTATATGTATATATGGTAGTTAAATGATGAGTGTATGATAAGAGAGCGATAAAGGTAGAAATATATAGGTATGAGATATTTCGAAGTTAACTTCTGTATCAATGTTTGCTACACTTTTATCATTTCTTGAGTGTTATTTTTCTACTTTTTTAGATATTCGAAATTATTTTTTGCGAAACTCACACGTCTTTAACTTGTTTATGTAATATGCAATAATATATTTACAGGTACCTGTTGTGATGGTTGTTTTTATTTTCACTTCTTCAAAGAATAAATATTTTCATAATAAATATTAATTATTTATTCGTAATATTAATTGTTATTTATTTTATCACTTGACTTTTATCATTTTTCACGTTATTGTTTCGAAACTTTTATTTTCTATACAAAAATTTTGTATATACGATTTTAAATAAAAATAAGCTAACTAAATCAGTTTTGTGTTCTTCTATAAACAAAAAATTATATTGTATTAAAATATTGTTTAACTGTATTGAATCGAGTATTGCAGTAGCTAGTATTAGTCTTTTGACTAGCAGCCAATCTTTGGAATATCATAATAAAATTTGAGATTTACCATTTTGCAAGTTTAAACTCCATTAATATCAAAATCTTGCTCTTAATTAACATATCATATATAGATGATAATACCTATTAAATATAAATACATATACTGTAATTACAATCTTTTGTTATACAAAAATATGATATTTAACTATATATTTCTTTTCTTCTAATGATTTTCTATATTTACATGAAAATTAGTCCCGTGAAATAGACTTAGATCTATATTCGAGTTTGTTATTTTAATTTTTTAGTCGTTTTCAGTTTGTTTAAAAGTTTTTCAATGCAAATTCATTATATTCGTTCATCGTGAATTTTAATTTAATCTCTACTGTACTTACATTAGAATTAGAATCAAACTATGTACGCTGCAGCTTTTTGGCCAATCTTTTCTCTACAAATAGGGCATCGATCAACGATACCGTTCGCACAGTCTTCACATAAACATACGTGCCCACATGGTAATAAAATTATTTCTCGAGGATTTGAGCGGCATACAACACACAATTGATCTTCTCTGAGATTTGAATCTCTTACGAATTGACGTCTCTGTCTACGAGATTCGGCAAGACTTTCTCTTAATTGTTCAGCTGATCTTCTTTCTTGTCTAGTTTTCCAAAAACGTCGAGCTACCACACCACTAAGTAATATTATAATTGTACCGAATATGAAGCACAACCATCTAAAAAATTATTATTATTTTATTTATTAAAATATTTTATTAATTTAGTTCATTTTTCATTAATAAGTGTAAAATTAAACTAACTTATACGTTCTTTTCCGTTCATCTAGCCTTTTAAGTAAGGAAGTAATAGACATAGTTGTTAAATAAAATGGAGAACCATCGGTTGGAGGCTGTAATATTAATGAATTCTGTTTTTTTACTAATGAAATTTCTCCAATTCCTGTTATAACAACCCCTTCACGAAGCATTTCTTCTGTACTTTGTAAACCACGTTGACGTACTCCTATATGTAAGATTTAGTTATTACAAAAATTTGGTAGCGCTTTAGATTAGATGTATAAAAATAATAAAACTATTTTAGTGTAAAAGTAATAAAGCTCACCCGTGAAAAAACCCCATAAATGATCTGAGAACGAAGATACATTAGGTTCAAAATAATCTGAAATTACATCCATGTCTAAAATATCTGCCGATAACGGATCATGAACTTCTACTTTATACCGGCTATTTTGCAAGACAAATGGTATTGTATTGTATATCTTTTGCATTGTGCGTTTTTGGTTTGACCTATATAATAAATAATATAATTGTTATACTTTTCTTAAGAAAAAAAATGATACATATTAAAATAAACTGTAACATGAAATGTATAGAGTATCTTATAAAATATTATTATTTGTTTTCTACAATTACTCTCTAATTAAATAATATTATACCAAAAGCCTGCTGTAGTTCTGGCGACCACATGTTCCTTGATACTAAGTTTTTGTAAAACTCCAGTTATGTCTTTTTGGTTAATGCTATGCAGTGGTTTACCCAAAGACTTTACTGTACCTCTGACAGCAATGTATCCTATTCTGTTGTCAGAGGCTTTACTTACAGTTTCTTCCAAAGATGAACCAACTTCATAGAAGTCTGCTTTCTATAAAAAAAAAATATTTTAAATAAGATTATACAAATTTAATTATATTTATAAAAATAGATTTGCAATGAAGAACTATAGATGACTTTGACAAAAATAGTACAAATAATAATGAATGTAATTTCGAATTTGTGCGAATTCAAATGTAAAAAATTAGAATTTGTTTTGATGTAAATTATAATTACCTTTACAGCAGTAATAGCATTTTTGCAATACAAATACTGTTTCAAACAAATACTAAAAATGATACTATCAATACCGAGGGTTATTAGTTCACCCACATACTCCATGGTTAGGTTAGATTTTTAAAACTCAACATCAAATCTTGATCCATGTTTGAATTATTTCCATTCTTCTTATACGAATCCACTTGACGTTATAGACTATTTATAACTTTGTATTATTATTAAACATCAAAGAGAAAACATTACGTTCTTTTTTAAAACGTTCAATTGAATTTACAGTTAATGTGATCGAATCATAAGCAACTACCAATAGTGTGCTTCGTAAAAATGCATATAAATATATAACCTACAAACATATGTCCAACCACACGGTTTCTAATTTGATGATAACATTGGATAGCATCTTTGCAGCCAATGGTAAAACAATTTTAGTTTTATCAGCTAATAGTGGTTTAATAGTGACATTCTGAAGATGAGATAATGTTAATTAGTGTTGAGAAAGATTACTGACATTTTTGTGTACTTCGCAAGGCGCAATATCCAATAAAAAGAAGATTCGAAATGCATATATTTAATGATTTTATATTGCATTTCGGAAATACGAAATTTTGGCAATGAAAAGATTGTATTTCTTTTAGTTTTGCATACAATGTAATAAATAGTGCACAAGATTCAAATACGATGAAGTTGTCAATCACGCGGATTCATAGAAAAATAAAAATATAATTAAATAATTAACGAATGTTGTGTTGAAATTAACAATTAATAGATGTAAGTAATTTTTTGTAATTATTAGAATTCCCGTTATATTATTTAAAGATAAATATTAATGACAATTAATTTATTGACTATGTATTGTTATTTTTGTTTCAGATTATTTCTAAATTTTCATTTTACATTGAATTACATTTATGCAGACAAACATGTGGGAGGAGGGATTTAAAACTGTTATACTGCCAACATTATCTACTATGTTAGTTTTTGTATTAGTTATTAATTTCTTTAGACGCATTACAGAAGAGACATATATCCATATAAGAGATGTTACTCAAGAACATAATTGGAAACCCATAAGAAAAGTAACTAAGGTAATATAATATAATATTTATTATATATCAAGTTTCAGCAACAAAAATATTTAAAATAGTAATGAAAATCTTTAAGTGTATATTTCTTAAAAATTTGATTCCTATATAATGTAGGCATATTACTGCAGTATTTGCGAAAGTCTATTATTAAATATCAATGGTTTATTATGCGATTCATGTGGAGTATGTGCAGATCTTGGATGTGTCAAAACAGCAAACAAAATACTTCGTTGTAAAGCTATTACTATGGAAAATAATGAGCAATTGCTACATCATTGGATTAAAGGTATAATTGTTTCCGATTATAAATCTTCAATATAAGAAAGCATTATTTGTATTGCTACTGACACTACTAAAGAGTATTTCTTTATCATAATCATAAATATTTTTAATTTCCTACGGCTGATAAATAAAAGGTAATTTACCAGTAGTAGCGATGTGTGCTATTTGTAATGAAGAATGCGACACAGAACTCGGCCTTATGGATTGGTGGTGTTGTTGGTGTCAAAGAAGCGTTCATGATTCTTGTAAACTTTCAATATCTGAGGTAGAATTTGAAAATATGTAACTTTGAATTATTTTATTTATTTTTTTTTTAAACACGAATTTCTCATTAAATAGTTTTATATCGTAGGTATGTGATTTTGGTAGATTTAGATTAATGATAATTCCACCGCAAAGCTTAAAAGCTATAAGTAAGCGCAGAAGAATGAGACGCAAGTTAGCACTGCATTCAGTTATAAAACCTGATTGGAATGATTGGAATCCTCTTATTGTTGTTGGTAACTAACTAATGTAGTTATAAACATTTGTATTGTTGCATCTTATTGCTTTCTACTAAAAAGTGTTCAGTCTCTAATCTTATTGAATATAATAAAAGATATATAGTAATTTTACTTTATAGGAAACAGGAAATCTGGTAATAATGATGGGGAAGAAATTTTATCATTGTTTAGAGGATTATTAAATCCTGCACAAGTTATGGATTTAGCAGAGCAAGATCCAACAGCAATACTTACGTGGTGTCGTCTACTTGGAAATACCCCCTGTACAGTTCTTGTTGCAGGGGGTGATGGAACTATTGCTTGGTTACTTAATATTATTCATAAATTACAATTAAAGGTAAACTTTGACACGATTTGTTATGGATATAATTAATCAGTCAAAATTAAGAAAATATCATTTTATGTAGCCAGTTCCAGCCGTTGCAATACTTCCTTTAGGAACAGGAAATGATTTGTCGAGAGTATTGGGATGGGGTAAGGAGCATGATTCGAATTTAGATCCTAGTGAAATTTTACAAAAGATACAACTTGCTGAAAAGGTCAACTTTGATAGGTGATTTGAGTGGTTATATTTTAATTGTATATTTAACTCTTTGCACTATAATTTATTTTTCTAATTTATGTTCTTGGTCAACTCTGATCTAATATTTTTTATTTTTAATATAATAAGTTTGAAACTATTCATGAGTTTAAAAAAAATATTATATCAACGATAACTTCATAGCGCAAAGAGTTAATTTTATATTTATTTCATTTTAAATGTCTATTATGTATAGATGGGCTGTAACGGTTAAGCCACAAAATGGATCTGCAGGATCACAACAAAATCTTTTCATGTATAATTATCTAAGTGTAGGAGTGGACGCGCAAGTAACATTAGATTTCCATCGCACAAGGCAAAGTCGTTTTTATTTATTCAGTCATAGAATTTTTAATAAGGTATCATATTTAATTTGTCAAATTAATAATTATCTTGCAAACTTTCTAATTAACCTTTTGAGTATTATAATTGTATAAATAAGAATTTTATAGCTATGTACTTTTTTTGCAGTTATTATATATATGCTTTGGTACACAACAAGTTATGGAAAGAGAATGCAAAAATCTTGACAAGAATTTAGAAGTTTACTTAGACGATGAAAGAGTAGATTTACCTTCCATAGAAAGCATAGTTATACTTAACATTCCATCATGGGCTGCTGGTGTTGACCTCTGGAATATAGGATTGGAAGGTTCTTCTTTTTTAGCTATTTTTTGCGTGCGTTCTCTCTTTTTAATTATTAAACAAATTTCATAAAATTGATTAGGCGGACAAAGCGAAGTAGGAGCTCAAAAAATTGACGATAAAAAATTAGAGGTTTGCGCTCTTTACTCATCTTTTCACATGGCTCAATTACAAGTTGGTTATTCTCAACCACATCGATTGGGACAAGCTAGCGTTGTAAAAGTACAGTATAATTTATATACATATTTATTATTCTTATATTTATTATTCAATTTTGTTTAATTGAATTTATTTAACGTTTAAGTAAAATAATGGCCGAGTTAATAAGTTACAGTACTTTGATGCATACTTAGGTGAAGTTATTGAAATCATGTGCCATACAAATTGATGGTGAGCCTTGGTATCAAAATCCTTGTGAGTTTACCATTAGTTTCTGCAATCAAGCTTTGATGTTGAAGAACAAACATTATTAAGCCTACCCTTTTACGTGCATTACGGGTATAAAAATGCATTTAGTTACATATATATAAAAATCAGTATTTAATTGATATTTGAAATAAATGTTCAAAAAATGTATTAAAAGAAATCTAGTCGACAATATTTTAAGAAATAATTTAAAATATATTGTTAAATATTAATGTTCGGAATAAATTTCTTGAAAGAAGATATAAATGTTGGCAAATAGGTTATAAAATATTAATAAATGTATATAATGAAGGAAAATTTATTAACAATTTATTATTTATCCAAGAATTTATAGATCCCTAGAGTCATTTTTACAATTTTTGATCATTTGAAAAAAAAAATTCTATATGTATAAAGTTACTGTAGTTTAAAAAGATAAAATTGAGATGAAGCGTCATCTATAAACTAGATACAAAAAAGTAACAAGATGGCTGAGATTACGCATTTCTATTTTATCTTATAAAAGTATAATAGAAACAAAAAAGCTTGTAGCGCCACCTTCGATATGATTCGTTTCGTATGTTTAGTGTTTCGCTGTCATTATACATGGGTTCTCAAAATTGTTTTGCAAACTCTGCGAGAATGAATATTTTAAAGAGTGAACATTGCATTAGTATATATTGATATGGATTTTGTATGCAATATGCAATGTCTGAAAAAGAAGTTCAATGTTTAACACGGTTAAATTTACTGAAAGCTATGTTTAGCTTTCAAGGATAACGAGATTGTATTTGGAGCATTACATTTTGTAAGTAAAATATTATTTCGTTTAAATATAGTAATATATATAAATAACGTTAAAAATAATAATACACAAATGAATGATGTCATTAATTATTTCTTAGCTTTAGACTTCAAATTACGTCATTACTTCATTTCTATGGGCATGATGATCAGAAAAACATTTTTTGTGATATTATGTATAACAAGTTTCTTTTACATTTTTTTTGTTCTACGTAAATTGATATATTTCCTTTCCAATTCTAATGAACATCAGAGTACTCAACTTATGTCCACTGAAGGTAATTAAATTGATATAAAAAAATTATTGTTGTAATATTTAATAAAGTAAACTGATGAATATCAAGTAATATATATATAAATTTATTTACAGATGGAAATCTAAATTTATCTACGTTATGGTCGTTATTAATAGATTCATGTTTATTAAGTCTTTTCATATTGCAACATTCGTTTATGGCTAATGCCACTGTGAAAAATTTCTTGAAAAAGTTATATATCGATGAGATAGAAAGAAGTTTGTATAATACATGTAGTGCAGCTGTTCTTTCTTTTTTACTGGACAATTGGCAAATAATACCATGGATAAATATTTGGAATATAGATATATCTAATAATAATATATTATGGTCGACGTTTATACTCATACATATCCTTGGTTGGTTTATCATATATAGCGGATGCTTAACAATGGATATTTCAGAATTGATTGGTTTTAGACAAGTTTATTATAAGATTACAGCAAGGCCTAGTCCTATGAATATAAAATCTAAAGAATTACAACGATATTATTCACATATGAGACATCCTAGTTTCATTGGTTTTCTCACAATTTTATGGGTACATCCATTTATGAGGTAAAATTAATTTTGCTATATTGTCACAGATAATATTATCATATCTTGTTTATAATTGAAATTTATTTATAATAATTTCAATGTTTTATAGCCTTGACAGATTTCTACTGGCTTCGATACTTACTATTTATATGCTATTAAGATGGTCTATAGATAAGGAAGATTATCAGTATCATGCTCATGTTTTAAGATGTAAACAAAGAGAATTTATTTTCTAATATTTTTATATACTAAAACAGAAAATGAGCAAGTGCCTTAAAAACGCTTTAATTTAATAAGATCTAATATTAACTTTATGTTAAGTATATATATTAATATCGTACTAATTATGTCTGTGTATTTATTTTTATTTATTATAAAACAAACAAAGTAAATATTACTTTAATTATGAGAAATAATTGTTATTTTATTAGAATATTATAAATTAGGACTGTAATGAATCTCATATATAATTAGTCTGGTATTTCGATTAATAGAGCTGTTCCTTTCAATATCCAATATGATTGTCGTTGAACTGATGGGAGTAATAGAGGTAAAACAAAATTTGTACTATGACCTGTTGTAGATAAAACTCCTGCACGTAAACTAGTTTTATATAATGGACAAACGTATCTTAAATCTTGTTCTGGTAATTGTAAAATTGGATTCACATGTGTAACTGGAAGTGAGGGATGCATTTCACCTATAATATTTATTATAACATAGAATTAGAGTTCATTAGACTAACATTTATTCTTATTACAAGTTACCTATATTTGCATCGACTAAAATCTTGAATTGAAAATCCCATCTACCAGCATCAATAAATAGACCATGTATAAACACTCCGTCTTGTGGAACTTGTAAGCCCTTATATGCTTGTGGTACCTATAAAGTAGAAATTTAAGTATTTATATAACAGTGCATATATATATCTACTTCTTTATTCGCTTTTTTATGCGCAGTTTCTATATCTTCTTGATGTAGAACAACTTCAGTGACTTGAAAATCCAATTTTAATTGATCGATTGGGGTGTTATACTTCCTTGCATAGGTTTGTAATATGCCAGTTATGAAACCTTGTGGAAATGATAGTCCAGATATCCAAAAAGACAATGGCGTGGAATGTAACAACCACATCTATTCATAAAAAGAAAAAGAAAAAGAAAAAGAAAGTTGGAAATGTGTTGTAGGCTACTTAAATGCGTGTTGAAAAAAATCTACTTCTATGAAATCAATACGAAGTTCCAAGTTCTTTGTCCAACTTCCTAGGGTTTTTAAAGATGGATATACATTAACGTTGTGCCACAATTGCGGTACCTAATTTTATTAAATTAATATTCACATGTTTTTATTTTTATACTTTCAATATTTGTAAATATTTGTATTTATTTAATTATAAAAACTTGCTTGATTATTTATTAAAGCTGTAAAAACGGTTTCAAGTTCTTCTGACATAACAACAAATCCTTTAATAGCTCGTTGTAAATTTTCCATTGAGGCATGTATTTTTGCTAAGAGTTTATTATATCTATCTACTTCTTGCAAAAGAACTGTAGTAAAGGATGGTATTCTACCCTTTGCATCTACCTAAAAGTTAGAAATATGGTAAAAGTATTTGTAATATTTTGTTTATATATATTATGATAAAATTTTAGATTTATTTTAATTTTACTGTGAAATGTGAAGAGTGACACAATTGAGAATCTATGTTTAAATGTATTCTATCCATAATCATATCTGCCATTTCATATGCGATATCTGTTGTAGATTTAATATCTGATACCATACTTTCTTTAGGTTGTGCTTCCAATATAGTATTTATAATAAATTGAGTCTCTTTCAGCTATAGTTAATTTTAAAGTTATCATTTGTATATAATATATTTTTAAAATATTAATTTTTATATTTAATATTAGCATTTAATATACACCTATACATATTAATAGAATTATTGTAGTAACTTTATTATTAATTATGCAATTATGTGCGCTCTTACCTGATAGGCTATATTTGCATTTTCATGCATCCCAAAAATTTCGGAATCCTCAACAATTGGAAAAATATCAATAAAATCAATGTATTCTTTAAGCTTTTCATATTTTGGACAGTAGTATATACCAGATGCTGAATAAATATAATCTAAAAAAATATATTTAAATCGATCATTAATGTTTTTATATAACATAATTTAATTTTTTTTTCTCAATAATAAATATGTACCAATATCTAAAGTTTTAGGGGAGAAAAATATATCTAAAATGGTTTTTAGAAGACGAAGATCCCAAAAGTCTGTTACTCTTCCTCCATATGTAATCTCAGCTAAAAAAAAAATATATATATATATATATTTAATATATTTTGAATTGTTCAATTTTTTTCTATCATGATTTTGTAAAATACTTACCTGTGATATATGTTAACGCATCCCATGGTATTGTACCACCTTCACAAAAAATTTGCAAGTTCAATAAACAGCATTCTCGATCACTATCACTAAATTCGTAAAGTATATTCCAGCCTAAGGGACCGAATTTTTTTCTTTCTTGAATAATTCCATGGAAGAAACATATACCAAATATCATTCTACGCCAACTTTCATTCAGAACTGCATATAAACATTTAAAAAAAGTATATATATATATATATATATAATGAATCAAACATTAAACATTACTGTTCTTTGTTCATAGTATATGTGTATTTTATAAGTCCAACGGAACGAGACGCATGTTATCAACTTTAATGTCCAAAATTTACCACCTGATCTTACGTTGCACTTTAAATATTTAATATTATAAGTGCTTTCACTGTAAAACTAATGATACTAACTTATACTCTTTTGCTGGCTTACAAAAGATAAAAAGTCTTACCATTATCCTCGAAAAAATCCTCATGTAAATCTAAAAGTGCCCTTTTGAGATTAGCTTTCAATCCTTTTGGTGGTTCATTTGTAACTTTAACTGCATTTTGAAGAATTGAAACTGGAAAGGCGGTGCTCGGCATTGAGCTTAAAAATAATCGAAAATCTGTATGCAATTCATTGTCAGGCATTTCAGATATATCCGCAACAATTTTTTCCAAATTGATCAACCACGAAACAGCCAAGTGACAATTTTGTAAAAATACCCATCTGCCTTCGTTCATGCCATTTTTAATTAATTTTTCAGCGATAGGACCTTGACCTTGTCCTAAAGATATGGAATCGAATCTATTGAAATATTCTATTTCTATAGCGAATCTTTGAAAACCACTGAAAGGGTCGGATCCAGTAGTGAGTACAAATATTAATGGTATTTTGTTAGATGTATCTGGAAAACTTGTAAAACGAATGGAAAAATTAATATATATATATTATATAATTTGTTATTATTATGACAATGGAGAAAGTTGAAAAAAAATGTAAAAATTGATTTTATAAATATTTGTAATTTAAAATCAATTTTTCCAATTTTTCGATTTAGTTCAGTGTCGTAATTATAGATTGACGCGTGTTAATAAATCTGAATAAAAATGTTAACACATTTTATCCGTACAGTGAATGAAGACTCGCTGCTGGTGATTCTACGAATTTTTGACCAAGATGTTTCGATACGTAAGCAGTAAATCCAAAGATAAGACATTCTTCTTTAAGACACTTTAATAACATCAATTTTTCAATATCACTTAATATATTATTCCAATCGTGCGTTGCTCTAGTCACATTTTTGGGATTTAAATTAATTTCCTATAGATAAAGTATATTAGATTTTGACAAAAATTAGCAGGTATAATAATTTTAAATTTTTGATAGGTAATTTGTATCTATGTAAAATAAGTAATATGTATTACCTCTTCTAAATAATCAAGTTTCAAATTGATCTTTTTCAGTACATCTTCTAAAATATTTTCAAATTTTTCCGAAGTACTAGCAAGATAATTAATATTGTTCCACATAATATCCGTCAATGTTGGACAATCCGGTTTTTTATTCTTTTAAAAAGGAATATATCTATAATGAATGTAATTTTTATCGTATTTTTACTGTTTTTATATTAATCAACTTACAACTTTGATCTGACTTCCTCCGCGCAAAATAAAATTCCATTGTGAATAATTTATAATTTCTGCGTCTAAATGTATCGCTATGTTCACCATAAGGCTAAATATTAATTTGTGTTTTTCAAAAAGACCACGAGCAACGTTGATATAAATTGCAATTGTAGTGTTCCTGTTCAATATAATAAGACGTTCTTGGAGCGTCGTAGTTTTTTCGCTACTTTCAATCACAGCATTGAATACCTAAGAATAAATAATATAATCGTCAAGATTTATCAATTAAAAAAAAAAATAAATAATATTGTATTTAAACGTTATATCGAAAATGTTAACCTGATTAAAATATTTTAACGAGAATTGATACATAGGATCAATGTCAGTTAAATCGGCAACGACAAAGTACAAAACAGAACCACGATTTGCAACGCTTTGATATTTATTACGTTCAATCGATATTTTTTCTTCCGTTGCTTCAGTTTCGATCAATCGCGTAGCAATAATTGCCGAGGTTTCTTTGCTTTCGTTAAGAGTTTCTATAAGTTCTTCATTATCCAAGATATCATCACCTGATCCATAAAGTAACGTTAGAATTTTATCCTCGATGCTTTGCAATTGTCCTTTATCAGAATTTATTTTAGCAATCAATTCGTTTCTAATTTCTTCAAGATCGGGTCTTTCAAGTCGTACAACGTCGCTGTTAACATTTAATTTATATTATTCATTTTTAAATTGTATTATAATAAAATTATGAATGTTTAAATAGAACATAACTTACGCGAGCAATTGTTCCTGAAGACCGTGCGAAGTAACCGTAAAATTGACTATTGTCACTTTTATACAAATTTCTGGCAAATAATGAGGATTGGCAATTTTCGTTGTTATGTATAATCGAAAATTTTTATCATATTCAATATCGCTATCTCCTAACCGTATCAAAGTTCTTCCACCCTATACATATACAATACAATATAATAAATAATTACTAATTCAAACAACGAATTTATTGATAACGTACTTATATATCTATACATATCTACCTGTACAAATAATTGTTTAAGCAAAACAGGTTCTAAGCTTGGATCTAACGTTTCAGTGACTTCCTCCAATAACACAGGTGCCCCAATTCTTATACAAGCTTCTAAAATTCTCATGAAGTTATGATCTGTTAATTTGCATATTTTTATATCATTTTCCTTTTCCATATTTCGTATCCATCTATTAGCCTAATCATAAGAAAAATGATATACAGTGAGCGTCCCTTTAAAATCGTACACCGTTAAGCTTATTAAATTTTTATTTGAAAATTATTGATATAACGTTTTTGAAATGAAGCAAATTTAGAAATAAATGTAATTAGAGTATATACCTTAATTACATATTTAATGAATTTAATATTTAAAAGTTTTATTTATAAAAAGTGAATTAGAGTGACGAGTATTAAATTTATTACTGGTCGGGAACGTTACAAAAATATATTTTAATTGAAACAATCGAAAATATTAATAGAGTACAGTACACTGTGTTCAATTTATCTTAATTGATTGTCAAATAATCGAAGGAAATGTATATTGTAATCTAAAAACGTGTATTTACTTTTCGATGTACCATCCTCTTTAAAATCCACCGTTAGACTGGCACGTTGTCATTTGTGAATGTTTTTTTATTGTATGTTGTTTATATGACTTCCCTGAGGCTACATACGCACATAAGAAAAATAATATTCGTAATAAATAGAATTTCCTTATACGGAAGATCATATAAACAACATTTAATAAAAGAACTTTCACAGAGGACAACGTACCAGTCTAAAGATGGATTTCGACGAGGAAGATACACAGAAATATACTCCGTGCTTTTAAATAACAATATAGACATTTCCTTTAATTAATTATTAATTAATTAAGATAAATCGAACGCATTACTGTACTCTACTAATATTTTTGATCGTTTAAACTGATATACATTTTTTTTAAACATTCTTAGAGTCAATTATTACTTTGAGTTGAACATTTTTATCTAACAAAAGTATCAGATCGTAATTGTTTATTCGAAGTATATGTAATTTTTATAAATTTTTTATAAATTTAAATATATCGATATACCGTTACCTGTTCTTGCGGATCAATCATAAGAGGCCATCTATTAGCTTGCATAACTATAATAGCATTTTCGGTGCTAATTTGATCTCTCGGTAAACCGTGCACATTCCATAAACGAATTTCGTAAGGATCGGCGAGTATGTTGATCAAATTATAATTCGTAGTTGTTTTTATTTTTAAATCATTACACCTCGATATCCACGTTCCCATTAATTCTTCTCTATATATATTTGTAAACGCACCCAGATAAGCCAATGCACCGGATGCGATCAAAGTATCGCCAGTTATGTTTAACATCTGTTTATCAAATTCCTTCGAGAAAATAATTTTAATTGACGAGACGAATGTGAAAAGTCAAAGAAATAAGTAACAAATTTTATATATTATATAAACATATTTAATTTAATTATATTTTTTATATTGTATGTTTTACCTCGATCATAGTTTGCCATCGTTGTTTTTCGTCTCTAAGAGCCGACGTTAATCTACCCGATCTATTCAATCTAGCTTCGGCAAGTGTCATTTCGTTTTCCAAATAATTTAAATTATTAACAGCAGCATCGTATTGTTTTTGCAATAATTGTATTTTCCTCTCAACGTCCGCCAATTCTTTTTGTTTCTTAGCCAACAGACTCTCGATCGTCCATAATTCATTTTGTGCTTCCTTCAATCTGAATTACAAATGATATTGTAACATTTATCATATTTTTGTAACATTTATCTTTTTTATTAACTCTCGTAACTAACCTTTGTCGTTTAGGTTCAACTACTCTATAAATTTTGGCATAACCATCCATTGCTCTTACCCAGACACACATTGACTTACATACTTTACTCTGTCTCGCAACAAGTTCTGGTTTAAAATCCGGATGATTTACGTATTTTTGCAAATTTTCTAATAGTTTGTCGCTAATGTCATCTTTGGGATAGGCAATTAATCGATCCAGAAAGTGAATATCGCCTAAAACTAATTTAGCGGTGGGCCAATCGGTTCTATTCAAAAAATATCAATAACTAGTCACTTCTTTTTTTCTTTTTCTTTTTTTCTAATCGGCTCATATAAAAAATATTATACTTTTCTCCTAATAATAAATTTACAGCTTCCATGACAAACCGAACCAGACGCGGTGGTTGATTGAAAACTCTGATCTCGTTAATGTCATTTTTATTAAGTGCTTTTAGTGCTTGTTCAGCTTCCTCTAAGGCTGGTATCACAGCTTCCAGATCTTGTCTAGCATCAATTTCTAAAGCTGCAGTTTCTTCAGCTTTGATCTGTTATAGTCGAGTATCGTATTTTTCATTTTAAAAATAAATTAATTGATATACACACTCGCGAATATTTGATTTCATTTAAATAAAATAATCGTAACGCATACTTTTGCAGCAGCTTCGTCAGCTGTTACAACGTGTTTAACTTTGTCGCATTCGATTTGTTCCTTCGCTATTATTTTCACTAATTGCGACACTTCCTCTGTACTGCTTTTAAGTTTTGGCGCAAGTATGATCAATTGTTCCTTCATTATGCTTACCATCTCGTTAGTCTCGTGCAATTTCTGCGATAATACAATAATATAATATAAATAAATAATGTGTGTTTTATATAGATACAGATTTATATTCTATTTTTTTTTTTACATACATACGTTCAAACCATTCAAAATTTTTTTCTTTAGCGTTAAAATCTCTTGTTTCTTTTTGTGCAACGTCTTTTCATAAAGTTTCAACAATTCCAAATAACTGCTTGGTGTCGTGTAATATCTACGACGCATTTCCAAAAAATATCGAGTTGTTGCATATTCCACTGTCTATATAATATCGTATAAATATAATAATATTGTATATATATCATAATATATATGTAGATATTAGCACATTAATGATTAATCATTAATATTAACGCGTGTATACTCGTGATCGGTCAATGTATTTAATTTATATAATAATTTGTATTAAATTATTTTTAATACCTCGTGCATCAAAACACAAATTGAGCAAAGCGCAGACAAAGTTTCTTCATTATCGGGTACTATTTTTATTATAGAACTTTCTGCCACCGAAAGAAGAGCGTCTCTTGGCCATTTTGTGAACCAATCAATTGTGCAACAATTAACCAATGAAGGAAACATACGACAACGTCGTCTATGAAAATGTTTCATAAATTTTGTTAATAACTTTATTATGTAAGTATAATTTATTGTTTATGATCGTTACCTGAACGCATCGCCGATAGGACTCATGCAAATCATAAGGTGTAAAAAGTTTCTAACTCTTTCGATAAAAAATTGATAAATAGCATCTCTGTCACTCTCATCGATTCCATTTTGTTTAGCTGCCGGTCTTGTTGCGATTATAACTTTTTCTAATTCGTCTGCTTCATATAAGTTTGGAACTTCACCTGTAATATACATTAAAATGTTACATATATATGTATATATGTTTATTTTCAAATCATAAATTAATGTATAATATATAATATATCGTATATCGTAGAAAATGATTTAGAAAATTTGTTATATTTTTAATTTAATTTGTAATATGTATAAATTTAACGAGTATTCATTTTTAGTTTATATATTGATGCAAAGATTAATATAACGTTTTTTAGAAATAGACAATACTTTATACTCATAAAAATGTTGTTTGCAAGTGCCATTTTTTAAATCTTTCATTTATGCATCACACGTACAAGTATTGTTAATACAATCAGGAATTTTTTCATTGAGAGGGGTGGGCTAAATAATTTGTTATCGAATAAAGCGAACTACCTTATCAACGTAGTATAAAGTGATGCCTATTTTCAGGCGTTGAAAAAAAATACCGGTATTGAGGGTGTTATTAATATCTTCCAAAAATTCTTCCAATACTATCTGAGTATCTGTGAATACAAACGTTGTGTGTTGCCCCTCTGTTCCTGGTTTAAAATAAAATTTACGAAGATCTTCGAACCACGAATTTTTATCATAATTACGAGTAACTTCGATTTCATAACACCTAACAAAGTATGAAAAACATTTTTTTAATATACTCAAATAACGCATAAATTTTAAATATAACTTTGATATGATTTTACCGATAAAAATTTAAATACGACGCTAATCTCGTTAAACTTTGTTTTCCCATACCACCCATTCCGACCAATAATCCATTACCCCTTTCTGATCGAAGAATTCTTGCAAGTCTGCAAACGTGTTCGATGGCATCCATAAAAAATATTATTCCCAATTCCTGTCCGATACTTAATGAATAATCATCCAAATAATCCTACGGAAAGATAATATGTTTATTATATTTATTATTTAAAAAAAAAACAAACAAACAAAATGATTTATATTATATGAAAAATAAATTTCTTGCAGAAAATAAATTTATCAGCAACGAATAAACTTTTTCTAAACCTGCAAAACCGATTTTATTTTATTCGTGTCTGTAATTTCTTCATAAATTCGTTGTTCCAATGGTACACCATAGGAAATAAAATCTCCGAAGAGTAAAATTGGAGGTTTCTCGATAACTTTTTCATCCGGTAATGGTATAACTTGATCGCCAAATGTATTAAGACAAATATTTGACAAAAGTCGATAAAAGTAATTTTTGTCTTCTGGATTAATCAGTCTGTCGTGAAACACACGTAGACATTCGTGATAAAACAATCTACAATAATAATCATAATAAATACATATATATTCTCTTTTTTTAATCTTCAAAAATAATTATATACAAAAATACCTCAACATTTGTTTAGGTTCTCTGATAACAGACGGATTGACCTGCATCATTCCTTGCACGCATTTTGATAAATCACGTAAGTTGAAAACGTAATGACTTTTTTCTGGCGTAGGTAAAAGATCGATAGAAATCTTTTTATATACTTCGACCGTAGCATTTATTATTTTATCACCGAGATCAATTATCGGTTGTACAAAATCACTGAGAAATCCTCTCATGATTGATCTTTAAATGAAAATGATATTAGTTCAAAGATTTCGTTATTCGATAACAATATATAAATGTATCGTTAATTATAACAGTGGACTGACTGAAGTTTAAAAATTGAACGAATTGATATTATAATTTTTTGTTTATAATAAAAAAAATTATAATATAAAATAAAAAGAGTAAAATCCATGTTAATTTTTCTTTTCTTTTTAATTTTTAAACTTCGTCCATTATCATTAATTATCGTTACATCTGTAAGATTATACTTTTGACGATATACTAACTTAAATATAGCTCTAAGAGATTCTTCCGTCGGTGATGGTATAAATAACATTGCAAAGTGTCTTACAAATCTTGGTGTAAGAGGATTTCTACCACCCCCGGGTGGTGCACAAGCAGCCGTGATTACAATGTCTTCTATATCCTTCCAGAATAATTTCTCACGATCGTACATACCACCATAGTCTAGAATTTGTCTATACTTTGACACATAAATGAAATATATATTTTATTCTGTTACATAACTTATTGTTAGTGTAACGCGATCAATTTATTTATTAATATGTGCGTGTGTGAAATTAAAATAATAATTATGTATTATATATTATATTATAAAATAATATATATATAAATTACCGCAATAATTCAATCGGTGGTTGAGATCCGTACGTATCCAATTTAGGCATATTGATATCATCGACAAAAATGCAAACCCTTTTTCCAATGGGTGCTCCTAAAAGTGCTTTCTTCCTTTTTTCTAATTTAAGTTCGATAATTTCTTGAGTACGTCCGCTGCTAGTTTGTGCAGAAAAAATCAAAGTAATTGGTACCCAAAGATTAGTTTCTTGAAGCGTGTTTAATACAATTTTCGTTATTATTGATTTTCCTACTCCTATTAATAATATATCGAATCGTTATTAATGAACAATATTCATTTGTAATATCTTGTTATAAAATATTAACCTGTAGCACCGGTGAATAAAACTGGCATGTTAATCATGATAAGTTTTTGCATTATATAACCATATCTAATGGTATTAATAGTCGGAACAATAATATCAAAAAATGGTATATTCTTGTCATATTCGAATACTGGCATTATCTTAACCCATAAATCTAATCTTCGTGTTTGAATGTTCATGTAAAGATTCCATAAATCAGCGGATGGTAATCTGTGTAAATAAAAATGAATTTCAATCTATCTATTTTTTCATTTGTAATGTAAATAAAAAAAGAAAAAAATGTTATATCCTACCGTGCATCTGGATGTTCATCGAATTGTTCTTTAACAAAAACTTCGAAAAATTCACGATATGCATCAACGATATTACCACCTATCGACCATAGAAGCGAATAAATGAAAGATTGAGTAAGAAATGTTTTTATTCGTGATCTTTCCGTTGTTTTTTCGATAACATTTGGCTCGAGTATTATACTTTCCATTATACCACAAGCCATGTTGGCTTTACTGATATCAACCTATTAAACAGATAACAAATTAATCAAATATTAAAACGTTGCAAAATGAAATTCGATATGAAAATTAGAGAAAAATGATGTTTAACAGACTTGTGCGATAGCGTGATCGCAATTTCTTTTGAAAAAGATCAATCCATTTTCGAAATATCCTTCGAAAAGATCGATTATTAATTGTTTATATTCCAACGTGAATATTTCGTCGGGAAGCTTTTGTACCCATGTCTTTACAAGTGGCAACCATTTTAATTCGGCAGGATCAACGTACACCATTCCTACATTTCAAAATACATAGTCAAATTGTACCGCCAGTGTTGTACAGTTTACATTATCATAAAAATTAATTTAACAATGAATTTATTTGTTAACGAAAATGATTCAAAAATATTAATATATCAATAATTATATAAATATGTAATTATTTTTAATTTTATGTTAAATAATAATAATTAATATATTATTTATTTTACGTACACATACCGCATCGACTAACCGTTGCTGGTGAAGCTTGTGCAAGATCCATAACTTCGAAAATCATGTGAACGTATGGAGTAAATTTAATTCTCTCGGAATTAGCGAGACACAACATTTTATTATCGTCCAGAACAGTGTTCATATTTTCGATCCAAATAGCATCGACAGGACCATCGCATACAACCCATTGGTGATCTTCTGTTTGAAACTACGTTTAAGAAAAATATTGCCCATCCAAAATTAATATAATATTATTAAAAACTATGTTTTTATACATTTCGTATAATTGATAAGTTTCGTTTTAATATACTAACGGAGCATGCATGACGTATTATAACACCTAATAAACCATCACGCCATTCATTAGTTAATGTATCTACTTCCCCGTACAATTCACCTATGGTAACTGCTTTTGGATTAAGTATATACATGTGTACAGGTTGATAATATGGACTTTCTACACCCATTTCATAAAGACGCTTATAAGTTTTACATAAAGTCTGAAATAAGATTTGAAATATAATTTATTAATATATTCATCGTGTAAAGTGTAATTTATTTAAACAAATTTTTGTTTTGTTTACATTAAGAACAGTAGATTTGCCCGATCCAGTTGGTCCTACCAACATTACACCATGCCTGACCACCATAGTTTCATGCAACTGAATAGCTTTTTTTATGGTACATTGTTCTGGTTGCTTACCGCTATCTATCAACGTCTTGTTAATAATTAATTAATATTTTTAACATTGTTGTTCTATATTAATAATAAATGGTTAACGATAAATTGTGTTACCGTAATTGCTGTTTCTTCGAAAATACCGTAATCCTCTAGGGGTATTATGATATCAGGAAAAAGATCACTAACGATACCTTGAAATAGGTTTGCATCTTCGCTCAAGAATTTTGGAATATTACTGTCGCGTAATGCTTTTATCAAAACAACGTCTTCCGATTTATCAGGATTATCACGTTTTAATGATCCTGCCATTACTAAGACGCTTTTGACAGCTCTTTGTAAGAATCATATTAATTATATTTGTTATATAAGTGTTAGATAATATTAATATAGTATTTATATTATTGTTAAAAAAAATTTTTATTATATTTTATATATTATATATTCATTTATTTTTTTTTTATCTAATTCATACCTCATTCCAAAGTCATAATGATCTTGTTGCGACAATTGTTCGCTGCATAGCGTATACATCAGTGTCATTTTTCTGGACAACACACTGGACATTTCAAACCCTTCTGAATATAACGTTACTTCGGCAATTAATTCTATAAAACAATATCTTAATTTATTAACAGTCTAGTCATGTTGAATTATTAGTACTCGTCAGATTAACTAAAGTCAAGCAACGTTGGCACGGTTAGTAAAATGGATGGATGACCCATTTACGAAAACAAAAAATTGTAAAAGGGAGAGTTGTAAATTATAAATGATTATTGTATTTTTACTATAATCAGGAACCATCATGGCGAACGGTCGGAACAAAGATTTTAAATTATCTGGTAATTCCGTACGTCCAGCATATCCAGGATTCATAGTAATGAAAGTTGAACATGACATAACTAATTTGATCATACGACCCTCGAACATAAATCTATAATAATAAGTAAAAAAATATGTATAATTCATATTTACGTTGTTGTTGACGATAAAGAAATGAATGATAATAATGACTAAAAAACACTCACTCAGTAGCTCTGATGAGTTTTGCATTTCTTATAGTAATTAATTGTTGAGCTATTACAGAAAGTACTTCGATATCAATTCGATTAAATTCATCGAAGCAACACCAAGCACCAGATGTTGCTAATCCAGAAAAAAATCTACCCATAATCTAATAATATAAATAATATATATAATCCTAACACGAATTATATTTTTTAAATGATAAAAATTGATTCAGTGATGATTTTTTTTTTTGAATACTTTGTAATCCAATCCTTCGGAACAATTAAAAACAACGCATTGAATGGCAAAAGCTTTTGCAAGATCTTTGGTCGTTTCTGTTTTACCAGTACCAGCTGGTCCCGCGGGTGCACCACCTAAATAATCAAACGTTTAATCAAAAAAACATTGATAATATATAATTTAAATAAATTATTAAATAAATTTATACCCAAGTCTAATTGCAAAGCACCCATTAAACAAAGATAACATTTGTCAGTGAGTGGCGTTATGACGAGTCTTCTTTGTGCTCCAAGGTATTCGTAACCATATAAATATTCCGAAATACTCATTTTCGCTAAACAATTATCAATTTCGTCGTCCCAATAATAACGTAATACTTTAACCCAATCGAAACATGTACTGTGAAAATATTAATATTTTAATTATTCTTGTATATTATTTTTTATATAATTCTAATTGAAAATATATATTTTATAAGTCTTACGTAGAATCAATTTTATTTTCAACCAAAATTGTGATTATATCTCGGGCATGTACGTCAATGGTAATTAAATTAATTATTACCTCGCGTATTAATTTTGGTAATTCACCTCTGACCATAGCTGCTAGTTGATTCAGATCCTATAAGTGCACAATTAAGATCAATTAATCGTTAACTAAAGATAAAGTTAGTGTAGAGATCAAATACGTTATATGATTTCTATGATACTTAACCGAATAACACTTTTGTTGAAACGATTGAATCGAATTTAAAACATTATCATTTGAATCCAAGATTAGGTGAACATTACGAGCCCACAATATTTGCGATACCGTTAGTACAATCTGATTTAGGGGTGGTATAGGAAGGATGATTATAATCAAAACATATATTTCAATAAAATATTTCATTTTATTACGATCAAGACATTATATTAAAATGTGATTGTTTTTATCTAGCACCTGTGAAGGATGAGCAGAAAGAAACAATTCTCTTCCTCGAGATTCTAAATCGACGATAGCTAATTTCATTCTCATTCTTAAAGTTATGAACATGGATTCTTCTACTTTGCCAAGCCAATCTTCTACGTTTCCTCTTGCTCGTAAACCCCTACCAAGAGCAACCTTTTCACCCTCGGGTGATATCATAGCAATAATATCGTTAGTAAGAACGGTTGCTATTACTTCACCGTGTTCGTCTTCTTTCGTTGTTGTTGCGAATTCCAAACGATGTATAGCGTCAAAACATTTTTGCAAATGTACTTGAACGGCGTGCGGATTTTTTGTCTACGTATTTATTTTATAGTATATATATATATATATTTTTTGTTGCATTCATTTTGAATTAGATTCGATTCTGATACGCAATGTTGGTTTTATATTTGTTACCTGTGCTAATATTTCCAATAATTCGTCGTTCGACAAGAAAAAAAATCGTGGAAACGCTATACGTTTTGTTTCTAAATATGCTTCTAAACATTTCATTACTTGATCGAGACTGTTATTGTTTTCAATGAGTTGTTCTAGCATACCAGGTTGCGTACAAACTTCCATGGCTAGCGGCATCTGAAATTATTATATATATATATATGTGTGTGTATATGTATATTAATAAGTGCAAGAAAATAGTTTACATTGTATATATTGATAATTACCTTGGCTGCTCGTCTCATTATATCTTTCCAAGATCTGTCAACTTGTAGAAATAATTTCGCTTCGATAGGTAATTGTCTTTGAATGTCGGGTGCTGAAAATATTGCTTCTAAATATAACCATTGTTGTTGACAATATTGCCATGCATCCTATTGAATTAAAAAATATATTATTTTCAAGATAATATTTAAAACTTATTTTTTTATTCTTTATATATATTATATTATATATAATTTTCAATTATTATTGTATTATTATATTTATTTATTTTTATACTAGAGTCGTTGTAAAGAGATCCAATTTTTCCGTCCAATCTTCAACTTTCGGTTTTATTGGTCCAACGTGTCGAGATGCTGCTATTGTTTGTATATTAATATTACTTTCATCCAAGGCCAATTGAATTTCTTCCAAACTTCCTAATATAAAAATATCCTTTGCTTCTCTATAAGGTACAATGATAAACTCCAAATTCTTCCATAAATCTTCAACTTTAGTTATCATTCCTTCTAAATTAGCTTCGGAACTAGCTGCAGCTGCAATTTCCATTAATTCGTTCGGATAAAGAAATACCCCGAGATTTTCCAATAAATTCCAAGTCAAAGGCTCGTCCGGTTTAAATCTATAATTCAACATTCCTTCGATTTTAATCCAATGACGTTTTTTCATAAATGGATTTCGTAAATATCCCAATATTGGTAATTTATTTTTAATCAGTTCTACGTCTTCCTTTAATTTTGGTAGAATATTGTTCGAGGGTAAACCTTTTTCCATTTGGACGATATTTTTTAACATTTGCATAGTTAAACCTGTAACATCTTCTACATTGAGCGTATTAAAGTCAACAAATTGCCATTGGTCTAGTGCATTTGCCCAGGATGTAACACTATCCCAAAGTAAAGTACGTAATTTTAATTCATTTTTTACTAGATCAATCATTTCAAATCTTGTAACTTCGACCTGCAATAAAACTGTCTTGTATCATATGAAATAAAGGAATTATATTTTATATAATTCTATTTCACGTTTTATAATACTTTAAACGCTCTTTGATGCGATCGATATTCGTCTGCAGTAGCCACACACGCATTCAATCTTTCTGTTAAATCCTTCAATGTTTCTAAACATTCATCTACGTTACTTTCAGCTTCCAATAACCACGTTTGCTGCAATATTGAATATCATCAATCATAAAAATATCAATAACAATATTTTTATCATTAGAATAATGTTAATATATTTTTACCATAATTTCGTCATTTATTTCAGATACTTTATTCGTCAATGAGACAATATCTTTTTGAAGTTGGGTATTAAACTTTGCTATTAATTTTCCTCGTTCCTCGAGTTTCTTGTCGACAGCTAAACGCAAAGTAGTAAAATGCACACTTATGCCCTGTTGTTGAAAAAATAATAAATTATTCAATAATTATTTTTTTCAAGGATACAAATATTTTTTCTACTTTTTGTTTTTTTACCAAGTAATTCGCTATATCATCCGCTGGCACGTTTATTTGAAATTCTTCCATCGTATCGTACAATTCTTTAACGTAATCAAGTTGATTCTCCATCATATCAACTTTATGTTGAGCTTTATCAACGAATTGTATATACGATACAAAATCATCCGTTGATACCGGCTCAGATTGTAAATAATTTAAAGATTCAATTGCTTGACTCAGTAAATCATTTACTCTACTTTTACCAATTCTATATAAAAGAAATGAAAAAATGTAACATTTGAAAATATTTATAAAATACATATTTACATTACCCTGGCATAACAATTTCAATAACAGTCCTTTTACTTTCGGGTGCTAAGGCAGCTGCTTTTTTAAAACGTTCTAATTGAACGTAAAAAATACCTAATGGTTGATAATCAACTATTTTATTAATGGTTTTCAATTCGTTTTGATAACGAAGACACCATTGACGGAATAAATCACATCGTAGATTATCTCGAATAATGTTTTCGTCGAATTCCATGTCTTCTAAATAAAAATTGTGTATCGTTCGAAAACGTTTCGTAAAACGTTTCATAGAATTAATATTATCGTTTAAAATTCTCGATAATTCTTCTTTTAATTGTTCCAATGATTTATCCATGCTCAATACGGTAAGAATTTCCGGTGGTTCACCGCAAATCTTTTTTTCTATTTTACGATTAATCATTGGCCTCGTATCGAAAAAAAAATCAATACGATTTTTATAAAATAATAATAACTTTAATAATTAATAAATGAAATCGCGAAACTCATATATTTTTAGCGTTTACCTGGTAAAGGTGTAAAAAAACGGATCGGAAAGTAACGGTTTGATAGCGTGTAAATTTTCTTCCCATGTTATTTGTAACGTTTTAAACATTTGTTGAAAAATATTTTCAGATGGGTCCATAGTTATTCCATCCTTTACGGATATTAATAAATCTACAATAAAATATGGTTCCTAAATAAAGAATGTGAAAAAATTCTTTATTATTATTTATTCGAATATTATATAAATATTAAGTTCTGGAACAAGCAATATACACAGTTGGTAATGTTGATCTACGATAGGTAACAAGTTCTAAAAATATGTATAAATTTGTTATCTATTATCAGGAGCTAATAAATTTATATTGATAAACAATATTAATTTGCAACATTATCGACTGTGTATAAAGGGTTACTCTTATTCAAGTATTACACAAAAAATATGAATAATTATAAAAATTTTAAATCAAGTAATAAACAAATTAATTATGTCACAACGAAAATTAATAGAACCGTAGAATCATTTTATACGTATTAAATATTTGATTTATTATAAATATTTCGATACCTGCGGACGTGGCAAAGGAGATTCTAATACAACATCGATTAAATTATTTTCTAACAATTCATCATCGGGTAGATAAATTGAATGATTTTTAAGTACACCTACAAGACTTTTGTAGGTATTAAACAAAAGACCTTGCATCATGTTCGTTTGTATGAAGTCGATGAGATGAATAAAACTGCAACAATAAATGAACAAAAATAAATACAATGTATTATATATAAAAATTTTTTAATCGTGTTAATAATCTTTAATTTACCAAGAAAGACGATAACATTTGTCACGTTTTCGAGCTTGTTCGATGTAACTCATCTTCAAAACACCGTCCTTTGGCATTTTAAATTTCATTCCAGTAAACGGGACTGTGAAAAAAAATAAATTACAAATAAATATGTACGATTGTTAATTTGTTATATAAATTATTACTTAATTTTCCATATGCAGTTTGTTCTATTGTAATATTTGAATCGTCAGGTGTGTAACCAGCTTCAAGAAGTGTTTTCAAACAGGCATTGTAAACGATATCCTTTGCCAAACTTCTAAATTCGTCTAATTTGTTACGAAGATCTTCCAGTTTCCGAAACTATTTATAATAAAAATGTTATTGTTAAATATAAACTTTCTTGTTTTCTTTTTTTTTTTTTTAGAGGAAATGCAAATTCTTCTATTTAAACAAACTATTTACCTGCATTTCTGTAAAATCAAACAGAGACAATTTTTCAATGACAGATACATCGTGAAAACTTAAATTAAGAAATACAGAACACATAGCATTGATTTCGAGTAACGCTTTGCTAAGTATCGGATCAGATATAAAAAGATTTTGTTCGATGTAATTACTAACTTTCATAAATTTTCCAATAGTTATTTGCTTTCTCCATGTGTAAAAAGCTTTCCACATTCGAAAAATTACAAAAGTTCTTATCTGGAAATAACACAGTAAATAATCATAATAAAATCTATCATATATGAACGGTAAAATTACAATAGTGGACTAAAAATAAGTACAAAATTAGAAAAAAATTTATTTTATGACTTATTATAAAATAAATCATGTAATCAATTTTTCTAATTTTTTAAACTTATGTTAGAGACCACTGCCATAATTATTCGGCATGCATGTATGTGTTGATAGATTTTTAATAACAATATTTAATATAGTACTTTCATTAATTTCATATAAAACACGTATTCTCTTTTCCACAATTCGATTGGTGTAAAAGTAACTTCTTCAGGACTGTATTGTGTTACACCATCTGTACTAATTGTCAAATATGCATTACCAGTTTCTTTATATTCAACGACCCTGTAATGCAATTGATTTATTAGTAAAAAATCATTTAGAAATGTAACATTTTTGTATTTTAATAATTTGAATGTTTTTTTTTTATTTTACCTTAAAGCATATGGTGTAAAATATTCGGAGGAATGATCAACAGCATATACCATGTAATAAAATACATGTTCTGGATCGTTTCGCAATCGTTCAATCAATTCTAATTGATTTACTATAATTGGTGGCTGAGACTTAGATTTATAATACGATTCATCGATGATTGAACTTTTAGGCTGTACCTGTACTGTTTAAAAATAATTTTTTAATATCATTTTTATAAAATATTTAATTATATTCTTAAATATTTTATATAATATTAAATACAAAATCTTACTTATACGACTTTTAGTTTTTACTTCATTTACTGTTTGCAATTGTGAAAGACTAGGTTTCAATATTCTTTTAGTAATCTCTTCTTGTTGTTTAGCGAATCCTGTCTACAAAATTATAATTTCGTTTTATTTTTATTCAATTTTTGTTGTTGTATATTATATAAAATTGAACAGACTCACTAGTGGTTCACGTGTTTGTTCTTTACTTTCTATTTTTTCGAGTACTTTCTTATGGGGTATGTAATATAATATTTCATCCGGATCGCTAAAGTATAACGTATTCTTTAAAAAATATATATACATATATATATATATATTATTTGAATAAAATCTAAGAATACAAAAAAAGTGTTTTTAATTTAAATTATCTTATAAGTTTTTTTACCTTTTGCAAACTTTTGCGGACACTTGACAAATTCTAGAAACAAGTACGTCGTTAATATTTTGATTATTTTTCGAATATTTTATAATTGTATCTTCATCACTGCTTTTCGGATCAGGATAAATATTCGAAGTTTCGGAATCACTTATTTCTTCATCTTCTTCTTCTTTCATGTTATTTTTCTTTTTATTATCTACTATCAAGAGTTTTTCAATATCTGTACAAGTAACGTTAGTAAGTAAAAAATTAAATTATAAAATGCAATCACTAAATATATTTATGTACTTTGAATTCATATTAACACACAGAATGCAATGAATTATTTTTTTTTAATATATCGATCAAACAAATGAATTTATTTTACCTAGGAGATGATTCGAATCGATATAAAGTTGATACGAATAGATAATAGGTAATTAGATAATATTTGATGTTATATAAATCTGCATTATCTACGTACAATAATTTTATAATGTTCAATAGTGAATGTATATTTCTCAAAAAAAGGGTTTAATTTAAAAAGAAAGTAATATTTAAATTCAAATATTACCGACACGGTATTCAATAAGTATCTATTGAGAATATAAATGATAGATGGTGTTGAGTATCAAAAATAACATAAGATACATCTCTGAAAGTGTGATTAAAAGTTATCATTTACTCCGTAACAGTGAATTTATAATTAACATTGTAAAATAAAATGTATTTAAAATTATTTCCTTTATTATATTAAACAATTAATTCTATTTAATTTAATTATTTTTGAAATTAATATTTTTGTATAGTTCATTTAGTAAGCAGAGACAACCGATGTATCGACAAAAGGACGTGTCGATCCTTTCGCGAATTTTTATCTTTGTGGATCGTTTTGTTGATGCTAAAAACGTCAACTATACATTTTATCAATATATTTCATTTTTATATTCCATTGCAATATGAATAGCGTCATGAAGATCGACGAACGTGAACGTCAAGGAGCTTCTACGAGTTTGAAAAAAGAAGATACATCTTTAACAGTGTTAATAACAGAACCATGTCCTGAAATAAAACCTTTAATGGACTCTAAAAGTTCACAAATTCGTATTGTTCGTGGTAATAAAAGATTTAAAGTAGATAATACCGATTGTACTAATTGTAGTGAAAAAAAAGGTTAGCTTTGTATGATATTTCATTGATTTTATTTACTAATTTTACATTAGACATATTTACTATTATATGTTTCATGTGTATATATTCAATTAAGATTTATTCTAATGTTATAAGACATTCCTTTATAATACTTTAGATTTCAAGGAAGATGACAATGCGGAAGCAAAAGTTAGGTCTTTAAAGCGGTCTTGTGAATTGTGGTCGATGGAAGATAAGAATACTTTTTTTAAAGCTCTTAATGAATATGGTAAAGATTTTGATGCTCTACAAAACTTTTTCCAAATTCAAGGAAAGAGAAAAGGTCTATCAGACATTATGATTAAGAACAAAGAACAAATAAGGCATTTTTATTACCGGACATGGTTAAAGATATCGAAGCATCTTAAATTTTCAGAAGGTTAGCATGCGTTGAGCAATTTATTATTTTCTTTGTTTTTTCCAAGAAGAAAATATATAAGTATCATTACAAATATAGATAGAATGATATTTGAATTACAGATGTAAAGAAAACCTCACAAGAATTGTACGGTTTAATAAATTACGGTGAGCTAAGGAGAAAATTGCCTCGCATACATGAGAAGGTACATTTAAAATTAAATGAATTGATCTATTGGGGATCAACGCAAGTGAGACTTCGTGGGAAAACAATGAGAATAAAAACACCGATATGCAAAGTCTTAAGAAAACTTAACCAGTTGGAAGGTAAGTACAATATGCTCACTGTAATCTTTATATTGAATGCATGCCAAAGTATAAACGGTAAACAGCATAACCGAGTAAGTATTTAAAAAAAATAGAAATTTAGCTATTATATTGCATGCATGAATTGACTTGGTACAGCTATGCATATATATATGTATAATATATGGATAACTGAATAATCAAAAACAACTTCCCTATGAATAAACACAAATAAATAAATAAATAAAGGATGAAACATAAAATATTTATTGAATAAAATAGTCAGTAAACATTTATGACCATAATTGTTTAAAAAAAAACCTGATCATGCATTGAATGTGTTGGCTTTTATTAAGACTTTTTTAATTAGTATAACATCTGTGATAGTAGCCATAATATATTTGCACTGTAGTGGATTTACATAAGGCCTGGTAGGACTTTAAATAATCTGTTGCTAACTAGTGCTATATGATATTACTTTCATGTGCATATCATTTAGAAGAGAAACTCTCAAAGTTAGTTATATATTGCATCAGTTTATAAAAATTTGATGTAGAATCCACATGTGATTCGGTAGATGTCCAAATGGTAATTTAACTTTTGCTATACCTTTCCTAACATATCCCTTATTTGAGTTCCTCTACATCACATAATAAAGGTGGTATGTACATGCGATCCTTTATATATTCCTATAAGAAGAAGTTACACGTATATATGCACAAATGTTAATATGGAAATGGTGAGTGAGGCATCAACCATAGCTGCAACATGTCCAAGTACTAATGTTCTATCACATTGGTCTGGAAGAATGAAATTCTATTAAATTTACATCCCAACAATGTAAAGAGAATATTCACCGTCGAAAAATTACGCTGATATTGAATGATGATCTGTGCAATAGTTATTTTTGTTAATATTATTTTCATTTGTGTGAAATGTCACGAAGTCATCATCCTTCTGTGTCTATTGTTGCAACAAAATTAGAAACTGTAGTAGAATAATTAGTATATATGTTTTTCAAAGGGATATGCATATGAGGGTGATATTGTAGATAGTTCTTGTGCAATGAACCCTATTTAAAGTATTATTAGAATTTATGTAAATTTGTTTATTTTCCGTTTCAATGAAATAATAGATAAAAGGATAATAATAGTAGTAATGTTTGGATAAAACAAATAATTCACGAGCTATCATTTGACCATCAAAGTCAAGAAACAAATAATAATGAAATATTTTAAATAAATATTTGACACCTTTACTTTATCCTTAATCGACGATCTATCCTAGCACCCGATCCTTATCCATGCCCACTGCAAGTTATCCTGGAATGAAGAAAATGAAAGTAAGAAGATCATCGATTTCGTAGATTGGCAGGAAGAAATAAAGCTACCCTCTAGGGTGACTGTAGAATTAAGGCCTCGCAATAACATGGCATGGTGGAAGGTTCAGGCGTCTGCTATGAATCCAAGGGTACGTACCCTTCTCCCGATACAAAGACGTCTTTCTAGTTTGCTTATATTTTTGCAACAACGATGGCAACCCTCGAAATACAAAACTGTATCCTTTCTATTTTCTTATACACAATTTTTGGATAATTAGTTTGATCGTGATTGAAGAACATTCGATAGCTTAATTGTTTTTTTATGAAAACAAAGTCTCCTCGGTAAATGATAATGAATCCTTACATGAAAAGTTTTATAGTATATCAACACTTTGAACGTAAACGTGGAGGATGCAAAAGATGTTGACCTTTTGCATGTTGCACCACCGGAAGGTTGTAAAATTGTATTGCCCAAGGTGAATCTAGGCGAGTATTTGACAAGTAATAGCGTTAGTTTGAACTCGTACGAAAAACGTCTCGGATTGAAAAGTTCGCGAACCGAGTTGTTGGGTGCAGTACAACACTTGAAGGGTGTCAGTAAAAAAGGAATAAAGAGATGCAGGTTGGACAAAAGATGTTTGGAAAGGACAACGAGCGATCAATGTACAGCGAACGACAACAATAGTGACATTGATCTTGCCGATTCAGCTGCGAGTTTATACGACAAATCCGCGATTCTAAATAATGAAAAGAAATCTTCTATAGAAGAGGCAACCGAACCAAATAGATTTCCGGGTAGAGAAACAATTGACAGGATTCGTAGAGGTTGGAATGTTGAGGAAGCGAATACGATGACGATGGGTGATCTATTTCTTATGGTACTGATCAAAAAAAAAATTAATTTATTTCTTTCCTAAGTCTTCTTTCGATAAATTCCTTCTATTTTTTTCATATTGTTTTTCCTTTAACCCTTCAGTGATTTATTTCTATGATCAGATGTTAGTTACATTTGATAATTGATCATTTTTAATTATACGCTTTAACTAAACGTTGAAATATTCAAACATTTAAAAGTTATAGTAAATGATAATCAAGACAACATAGAACTATCTAGCAGCAGCATGATTATCAAAGAAACCACTGAAGGGTTAAATACGATCCAAAATTTGATTAACTCGTTAAAGAAAAGTATCCTTCTAATTTACCAAACTTTATAGTTTGGACGCGAATCAAAAATAACTTTAGAATATTGGTGGAACTCCCAACAACCATGGAGAGAACACAGTGCACAAACGTCGTTAGGAGTTACGCAAGATGATAGTCTTTGTTTGGCGTTACAAAAACTGTTGTCTTTAGCAAAACAAAATTATGGAATGAATAAAGTAAGGACACGTTCTAATCACCTCGAATACCATTCGATTCAAGTTAAATGAATTTAAATTGAAAGATATTTCTATCTTTTTCTATTTCTCTCTCTCTCTCTCTCTCTTTCTTTTATTCCCTTTAAATAGGTCTACGATAATGCGTCAGGAAGTAATGAGACCGTGATCTCGTCGCGAGTACTTTCTAGTAAAGAATCAGCTTTTAGAAGACCACTGATACCACAAACTTATCACAAAATCGGAGCACCTGATGCTTTTAAAACACAACTCGATGTAAGTTCCCTTACCTTCTTCCTTTTGCTTTAATAAGTTCTTTTCTATTTCGTTAAATCCACGAATACGAACGAATCTTTTACTACATTATTTTGTGCTTTGTTTTCCTTCCTATTTTCATATAGAAATTTAAAACGCGTTTCTGTAAGAGAGGCAGAACAGTCAGGCAAAAGAATCTTATCGTTCAAAGAGTATTACCGATAACACTTAATGGCAACGTTCAATCGGAAAATGTGATCTTGCCTGATACACCAACGACCAGTCAAAGTAATAATAATAGTAATAATGCTAGTAATAACAATAATAATAACAATCAATCGGTGGACGGCAGCGTTATACAGGATGACAAAATAACAGAGGTAGATGAGCAAAGAAATAAACATTTCTTACCGATGGATGGCATCGAATCGGAATCTAATCCGAAACCAACGAATTCTATTATAACCAGTGCTACGCAAATACTTAAAGAGGGTGAATGGTTGAATAGCGAGGTCAGTATTCACGGAATAATACTCGAAACACTTTTAAATGATTGGAAATATATATATATATATATATATATATATACTTTGGTAACTTCCATGAGACACCAATATATAATGTACAATACTTGTACTTTTTTCTTATCTCTTAAAAATCATAAAAATTTGACTAAAATCGACCGTTCGTGGCCAAGTGAAAGTCAGTAAGAAATTATGAGAATTCGATGGGTTACTTTGAGTATCGAATTTGCATTTATTTGATTTTAAATGTCGATAACATTTAGATTTCCTGAGGCTCTCCGTTTAAAATTCTTTTTTTCTCAGCAAATATATATATATGTATATGAGTACATATATATAGTCTTTCAAATTAACAGCTTTTCGATATACGCGAGTTAATAAGATAAAAACAATTGACAAAATTCATTTTATTTTTTACAATAATATTTTATAATAATGTAAATTATTTTCCTTAAAAAAAATAAATCGTAAAATCGATGATTATCAATTTTTTAAATCGGTAATTACTGTGCACGTATGTGCAATACAGATAGAGACATGCATAGAATTTAGATTATTTTTTTATTGCGAGTTATGATTTTATGAACGATTTCAGGTCGCCGATTTTTCGTTAAGTAGCTTTCTAGGACAGCTAGAATCACCGTTAAAAGCCTCTCAAAGAAGTCAACTTGGAGGACATACCGTCGAGGACGTTCGACCCTCTTCAGACGTAATTACGATTGATATTAAATAGAATGGGAACTTATGTGTTTTTTTTTATTGAAAAGAAAAAAGAAAGAAAATTAATCGCCGATCGCGTATCGTTTTAGGTTGTATCGCACATGCAATGTTTGATGGCCGAAAACAGCGTGGATTACATGGCAAAGTTTGCAAATCTTGCATCACAAATTGCGGATGATGAACATAAGGCGCAAATATTGTAACGGAAATTTTTAAAAATGGTACCTGACTTGACAACTTAGTCTTATAACTAATTGCTTCAATCATCGATATTCTTACACATTTTTATATATATATATATTTATATAAGTATAATAATAATTATAATTACAATTGTAGGTATAAATATATATTGTGCATATTAGACGCATATCTTATCGTAAAAGTATAATAAATGTTATTTATTCTATTCTTATTATTTTCTATGGTTGATCGTTATTATTGCGTTCTCTTTTTATTTTTTTTATTCTTCTTAATTATTTAGAATTAATATATTTTTCTTTTTTGTGTTTATATTTAATGTAGAAAAACATTCGTAATTGCATAACATAATTTTCATGAATATACTATCGTTGAGATATGAGTCGATAATTATGATGGTGGACTAAATAAAAACAGAAACAATTGATAAAATTTATTTTTTATAATATAAATAATATAATGAATTATTATTATTATTTTTTACTCAATGTACAGTTATATAATTGATGACGCGTGAAGAATTTTAAAGAGAAATAAATGATGAAAGTGGATAAATTATTATAATTTTACTACTACTATCAACTCTCATCACAATTAATAAACATGAATACTGTCAACGAAAGACAATTTCTTACATCTCTTTGATTATAAAAAAAACAAAAATTATATATTGTATCTACATTCGAAGGAAAGGATTTAAATTTATGGATAAAAATTTGCGATATTTAATAAAAATCTTATTTTTTTATTACGCTGAGTCATCATTGAGTTAAGGGTGACAAGATGTACGAGTACGGGTTAGAATCCGTTCCAAATAAGCTTTTCACGGGTCTCGATACATCCCGTCAACTTCTTACCTTTCACTTTGCTGGATGCTGATCTGTCCAAACGCTTCAGAACTGCTTCGCTCAGGCTCGTCAGAACTTGATATAGATCTTATTGTTAAAAGTACGAGATTTCTTGCGTGCGTTTACAATAGCATCTATACTTATATACACATTTACACCTACACCCCGCATACACACATACACACACACACAGATATCTCTGATATACACAAATGGTAATAATTGCGTTGCGTTGCAATAAAAATGTTGCAGCTTGGTTTTTTATTCGAATTTCAATAAAATCTAACGCACGATTCTTTCTTGTTTTTTTTTTCGTTTTTATTTTATTTTTATGTCTTTTTTTGTCGTTTAGATAAGAGCAGAGCCGCGTACCTACTTTTTTTTTATATTTATTTATTTAACGTTTATCGCATATTTACAAAATCGATATTCTTTTAATAGACATTTCGAACGATCAATTTATTATAAATTTAGATGAAAATTGGGTCACTTTAGGATTACGATATTCAATGATTATGATGCGTTCCCTTTTTTCTTTCTTTTTTTTTTCGTCGCGATATTCATGCGACACGATAAAAGTGTGAATCAGAGTCTCGATTTCTATCTCTCTCTCTTTCTCTCTTTATGCAATAAATAGATTTCTGATCAAATTTACTCGAAATAAAAGGCCCTACAACTAAGTCACTTATAGCATAGTAGTTAAAAGTTTATTCGTTTGTTAAGAGAATGAGAGTCCATGGAATTATTGGATACTTTTCTCACGGAAAGTTAACTTCACGTTTAAGCTACGTTCGATGATAGGTTTTGCGATATTGAAGGTTTCACCCCCTAAATCGAACAATGTCTTTAACGGCTCAACTTTTTCATCAACTTTCATTATATTTTTCCCTTTTTATAAAAAGGAAGAGAAAGAAAAATAATCATGATAATACAAAAGACACAACCGAAAAAAAGAAAAACAAGAGAAAAAAATAATAATTAAGAAGAAAATCAACGAGATCGATTTTGTCTTAGAGTAATAAATAATTATGATAATAATAGTAGTAATAAGAATAATGAGAATAACTTTTGAATCTTTTATATATATATAAAAAAAAAAAAAAAACAATAAATTTCAAGAGAAGTCCCTGGGAAGATGATATATTTAGAAAATTTATAGAAAGAGGGTAATGGAGGAGTTAAAGGAGCATACAATAACAACAACAATAAAACATAATAATAATAATAAGAGAAGTTAAGAACAACTTTCGAATCTCCTTTCTAAACACTAGATTTACGGACTAAATTATTTTTTAAAAACATAGGTCGGTTTTTAGTTAGGTAATGAAATATACGTAAAAATATTAATTCCTCCCCTCTACTCAACCTTTCGTTCAAACAATGTTTTGAAGTCATTAAAAAATAATGATCAAAACATCCGTAAATCTAATGTTAATAAAACAGCGAATTCTTGAAGAAAATTTCGGAAAATATGTATATTGCGAGAGAAAATTTATTAGATAAACGTGCAAATAATGTACGCGTAGAGAAATAAGAAAACGTTAAGAAGGTGTTCAAAGAAAAATGAAAATAGGAAGAAAAAGGGGAAAAGAAAATAAAAGAAAATAAAAGAAATAGATTATCGTTGGGAGATTTTTCATTATCTGAGTTATGATCGAAGCAAGATGACTATGACGACGAGTAACATCAGCAGCATCAGCAGCAGCTCATCTCGAATGCGTGCCAAGGTATCACGAAAAGCAAAAGAAGGGAGAGAATGAACGATTGAAGGAAGGAAAGAAAGAAAGAAAGAAGGAACGAACGAACGAACGAACGAACGAACGAACAAAGTGCGCGAAGCTTAGAAAGCCGATCTGCGCAAGCACAGGTGGTGCAAGTTCGAGGGTATAAAGAGCCGAAGCTCGATCTGTTAGTGCGCATTTTGTGCTTCATGTGTCCATTATACGGATCGTATAATTATTGTTTTAATCGATTTCTGATCTATTAAGAATTGTTGTAATAATATTCCTTAACTTTCGTACCCCTTTGTCTTGATCGATCTTTAATTCTTTTCCATCCTCCTCCCCTTTACCACCGCGTTCAAACGCGATCTTCCTAGTTCGAAACTCGTTCGTGATAGCAAACGATTTTGTTTCAACTAATTTTCTCGGATTTTTAAATCAAAATAAATAATAAGAATAAGATCGCGCGGTAAAACAACGTCAACCGTAAATTTCTGATTCTTCTGCTTTTGTGTGGTGAGTACGCAAAATTTGTTATATTTCTATTCTTATTTTTTTTTTTGAATTATAATAAGTGATTTTTTTTAGATATAATAATAAGTAAAAAAAACAATAAAAAGGGATGAGAATATATGATAACATACTATTAGTTCGTTTGGTATTTTCTTTTCTTTTCTTTTTTACGAGTCTAATTAAATTTTCGAGTTTTTTTTATCAGTTTGTCTGTACCCACCTTATATCTAGAAGAGAAATAATCAAATGATGGCTTACCCTTTCCGTGTTACCACAAAGTAGAAAAGAATTTTCTTTATAATTTTTGTGTCTGATGGTGGTCTCTTTGATCCATTTTTAGATAATACAATGATCATTTCAAAATATATTACCATTTTTTAATTAACGTTTTTCTCGAGATTAATCATGTAACGTTTTGTAAATAATATCGTGTATTAAGTAAACCAAAAAGAAAAAAAAACAAAGTAAAAATTAAAAAACATAACTAATGTCTATAATAAGAAAGAAAACAAAGATAAAAAAGAATAAATCATTTTCATGAAACGCGTGTTAGATCGCATATGGTTCATTTGTACTCATAATTATGAAAGTGGTCTAAGTCATATATCTCTTGTTTCGAGATATTAAAGGATTACATTTGAATACTAAATGAATTCTATATAATATTGAAATAACAAACACTATCTAACGGTTCATTTTAGACAATATATCATGAAAATTACATTGAATTAATTTAATTTAAAATAATGTAATGTGAAATAACTGATAAACTAATTTTTTTTGTTCAGTTTAGACTTTAGATCACCTTCATAATTATGGGAACATTTATACTATAAAAAATGTATGTTTGTTTTATTCATTATTAAATTATTATCGGATTTATGATATTGTCTTCGGAGAAGATAGGCTAAGAGAAAAAAAACAAAATGAACGCTTCAACGTCATACTTCGTTCAAGTAATAATTATTAATGTATGATTGTTCTCGTACTACGATTAGATTCGATTGAATCGACCCGATAACATCGCCTACATTAGATATGAACTCGTAATGCAGTAATTAATCTCCCTTTTAATTCACATCGTTGATTCACCGACTTTGACGACGACGATGATCAATCGTTCGTTATTGATTATCTTATTTTTTTCCTTTTTTTTTTGTTGTTGTTCAATACCGATCACTTTTTCCAACGAGAGTCCGTCTTGTAAAAAAAGGGTCTTGTTTCTTAACTTTTTTAATTTTATTTTTTCATCGGCAACGATCATCGTCAGCAAGTAAATTGGATGATTTGGATTTCGAGATTAACCCATTGGACACTTTATTTTGTACAACAAAATTTTCTTACAAGTATACAACAACATTTTCTTTTCATTTATTCGATCATTTTTTTACGGACTCGTTTTAACATTAAAAAAAAATGAATGGGTCTTTTTTTGCCATTATCGGATTTAAATATTTCAGACGTTTCAATACGATGAGTACAAATTGAAAAGATTAAAAAAACTTTTCCCCTTTTTATCTAGGCAATTTTTAAACATTTATTTTAAGGTGGAACATATATATGAGCTTTAAAGTTAAACAAACAAAAAATATGACACTTTCGTTACGGTGATTCGAGTGAACGATATTGGGGATGAGTAAACAAAATGGGAATGAGAGAATAATAAAGTTTTTCTTTCTATCCGATCAATTTTTAAAACTTATCTTACTTATCAAAGCTAAAAAGGAAAAAAAAGCAACGATTCTTCTTCCGTTATAGGGTAGGAGGATGGGGTTAGGGGTCGAATGAACAAGTATAATAATCATAGAATTTTATTTTGATGTACCGTCGTTTGACCCTCTTCCCTGAAAGGTTCTTTAATAATAAAAAATGACAAGGATTATCACGTGGGTGTTCATTTATATTATAGATCATTTTGAGCAATGATTAAAAATGAAAGAGCAAAAAACATAAAATTCTTTTTTTGTTTTCTATATGTCTTATTTTTTCTTTTTTCTTTTTTTTTTTACGTTTTCCTATTGGCGTGAATGGAAAGAACATTATTATCTTTTATTATTGGATACAATAAATCTAAGCTTTCAAGAAAAAGGAAAATAAAAAAAAAAATCGGATTTTTTCCTATCATTCTTCTTACTCTCTCTCTCTCTCTCTCTCTCTCTCTCTCTCTCTCATCGGTTATGTTTATTCAATGTCTTGGGAATATTCACCCTCGTCTAAAGAAGATCATAATGTTACGTCAATGTTATTCCACAAATCTAAGGAAAATTTATCGAATAAGACCAACCAGATATTCTGGATTTTTTTCCTCGATAGGTTCAAATCTTCGGTGCTTTGCGCGAAGATGATGATTGAAAAGATTATACTTTTTTAGAATTTCAAATTTCTTTTTCATAATAAGACCTTTTTCCTCCATCGTCAATAAGAAAAATGGATTGTTCTGGTACCTTTTATAACCATCGCTTACTATCATTTTATTGACATAAGATCATTTAAACTAGAACTATCAAAATTAATCAAAATTATTTGGTTGAGAAGTAAAGCATGAGTTTCTATTATTTTTATTTGTTTTAAAATTAATAAACACTCGAATAAAGGTTTAATTAATTTAATTCTAGTGGTACACCACGAGATAACAAAAGACAATATAATTATTCTTGTGTACTTTGGTATAGAAAAATTAATTAAAAAAAAAGAAATGAAACAATACGTATTGATACACGAGGACGACAATAATTTCTTTCTATCCGAAATAATATACGAGGAATGAATAATACTTCGAAGATTATCTTCTCCGAATGAATTTTTCGATTAATTGATACAATCAAGCCTTTTTTTTAAATAGAAACCAACCGAATGTAATTACATTGCGGTTAATAGAAGAACGTTATATAAATTTCACAGAAACGTATTTAACACAATCCTATAGATAATATCTTATTTTCTTATTGGTGTTAACCGAAAAGTGGATGCTTTACGAATGTTATGACTGGGCTTTTATCAGGTATTGGTAGGAATTAAATGGTGCTGCAGTAATAAACCATCACTCTGGTTGGTCTTAAATGCGAGGCACTTAACAATTTTATTGTCTCGTTAACTCTGAGGTAGAAGTGAGTACTGAATTTCAAAGATAATCTCTTTTTAACTTCCTTTTATTTCTTTCTCTTTCTGTCTTTTTTCGTATGACAGGACACACATCGCTTAACGATATGCACTTTACGATCAAACGCATATCCGATTGACTCGATCATATAAGGAATAAAATTAATCGATAAATAAATAAAAAAGCCCCCCCCCCGATTAAACCGTTAATATCCAAGCTGACCCTCTGTCCTCCTGACCTTTTCTCAATAAAAAGAAAAAAAAAAAAGAAAGAAAGAAAAATCAAGCTTGTGCCAATGATAAAGGATCGTTAATGATGATGATGATGATGATGATTATCATGCACACACATATTCCTTTACGGGTCCTGACGTTTACCATATGACATCATAATGACGATTAGAAGAATATAAGATTAACTTGGCAGCCATTATATTATATCATGCACAAAGTTAATCCAATCAAGCCTTACAATAAGCTATCCCGAACGGGAAATTGATAGTAATCCTCACATATCTGTGTACATGTGTATGTGTGCGTATGTGCGTGGCCTAAATCTGATATTAAATTATAACTATTGAAAAATGTGTCTTAACGATTGTGAATAAAAACATTTTTTTATTATAATATATTATTATTATTATAAAAATGCATTTTTTTTCTATTTTCGAAGATTAAAGAAAAAGGAAAAAGAATTATCAAAAGAACGTCACTATTATTATTATTATTATTATTATATTTCGTTCTCTCTTTTATCGCCTTATTCGTCTTTGTTCTATCATTTTTTTTCTTTATAATTTTTTTTGTCTTTCTTAATATTTGTTTTATTTTCTTAATACACCTACAACCAGAGTCGATCGATCACTTGACGTTCCTTTGTGTGAGGAATTTTTTTTCTCAAGCGCAAGCATTTTGGATGGAAAAACCGCATTTTTACCTAGACCATCTAGTTAGCTTATATATAACCTTCGAGTCCCTACTTGAAATAAGGTACATAGCCGAAGATGGTTTATCTTTAAAATTCCTGGTTAATTTGAAGGTCCGGACAAGATCACTCGCGTAAGCTAATAGATACCCTTCGGATCGATTTTAAAGGGCAGAGACCTTCGTCATAGTGTCACCTTCGTTTCTCGTTACAACGAGAACAATGTGCATATGTAAATATTTCTTCCCCTTTCTCCCCTTCCTTTCTATTTCTCCTCTTTTTCTTTCACTTTACGTAAATCAATGTATATATATATGTGTTTATTGTGTAAGTATATGTACGTGTATATGAATTCAAATCATGCACGTGAAATTACTATAAGATGTGTACAGTTTCCTCGTAGTTCTCTTTCGGTAGGCATCTTAGCATCTCGAAACTAAGAATTTCGTATGTCGATAAACAGTACCTAAAGTTTTCACGATATAGATAGAAAAGAAGGGAAAAGGGATAAAATCGATCGATATATCTCGAAGATTGTCGAAAGGGAAAATTCATTTGTGCTCCGTCGGTCGTGTATCGTTTGGTCTTGAACCATCATCAACATCAAAACCTTTTCTCGTCTCGAAGAAAAACCTTATAAAGGTATGGATATATTAGTACGTTCGAAGAATGTTAGTTAGTTAGTCTTGGAGTTATATGTTGTATATATATATTTATGTGTGTATGTGTGTATGTGTGTATGTGTATTCATTCTAACGTTAACATCACAAAAAGGCAAAAGATTATTTTTACTTTCATTTCAATGTAGTTATTACACTCACGACAAACAAGTTTGCCTAGAGAAAATAAAAAGAAAAAACATATTTCAAACGTAATTCTTTTTAGGATTTATTAATGTAGCTGCTGCAGTTTGTAGAACGTTGGTTAAGCAAGAGACGATGCGTAGGTAATGCACGAATTCGTTTCTATGTTATAAAAG